ATGGAATAAAAGAATATGAATTCATTTCAGCACTTCTGCTGAAGGGGAAAACGTCAGTTTGCAGTTTACCATGAGCAAGTACAAATAAAACCTGCACAGTAATCAATCATCTCATCTGTATTTGTACAAAAATCAAATGAAATACTCTCTTCAATCACCGCCTCTCATTAATCAGTTGTTGATCCAGAAGTATGCAAGACAAATCTCTCTTTTGACATATTTGAAAGTGTATTCAGCTACACATCAGAAAGAACGCAAGAAAGATCAAAGTTCAGGAATAAAGGAATGCCTACAAACTTGCAAATGCAAGAAACAGATCCCGTGGGATCTACTAGTTCAGCCTTAACAGATAATTTCTGCCTAAGGACGGCAAAGACACTAAGGTCTAAAATTCAAAAAGCAAAAGAAAAGTCCTTCTTAAACGTGACTTTTAGGAAAAAAAATAGAGAAAGTCCAATTTTAACTTTGCGTTTGCTAGTTACTTAAACAATGTAGTTCTATCACTCCTAGCAGTAGTATTTCCTTCAGGGTTTCTTTAGCATTCACAAGTAATCAAATCATAGTAAAAGCATTAATTTATTTACAGCAATCACTGAATCACAGAACCACAGAATTGTTAGGTTGGAAGGGACCTCTGGAGATCCTGTTAGATCTCAGATCATAGACAATATGAGCTAGAACTAGGAACCAAGAGCTTTCTAAAACCAGCTCTTACTCTGTTTCACATGCCTGTTAGGTATCAGCAAGAACTTCCAAGCTCTGCATTTGTTGCAATTCTTCAACAAAACTATCACACTTGAATTTCCAGGTGTCTTTGAACAACAACTACATTTTGACAAATCTTGTCTACTGACTTACTTTTCTAACAAATAGTAGGTATATTTTTACTAGTTTTACAGAAGGATCACAGAATTAGCTAAACTGCTAAACCAATTAAAGTATGCTGGATTCACGCGGAATCAAGAAAGCTTCTTTATATACACGGAGAACGCTGCATTAGCAAACAGTATAGCACAAGGCCTCACATGTTAACCCTTTTTAAGCTTAATGTCCATTTCAAGCAGAGACTTGCCCAAAACAGCTAATAAATATTTACTCACATTAATGCTACTGCACCTATTTTTCTCTGTTAAGCTAAACAGCAAAATAAAAACAAAAAAACTTAAGTGAATTCTTACGTATATTTTACAAAAACTCTGTTATGTTGTAATCAGTGTCTAGAGAACAGGCCAAACTGTAGTTCTGAAACAGCCTTGACTTTCTTCAAAACCTTGAAAATATGTTGAGAGCAACATGCAAGCACAGAGGAAAGTTTGATGGTATCAAGGACAGAGAAATGTGGACTAATTTTCAGAAAGAAAAGGATTTTTTGAAGTACCATCCAAAGCATGATGATTCACTTATTCAAAATCCGCTTCCAAAAGTGATAAAATCACTGACAAGTGATAAGAAGGTATTAAAGCCAGTTTTCTGTCACACGCACCCATCACATCCAGGGACTCTGAATGCAATTCAGACTAATGTGGAATACGTATGGGGCTTGGCTTGGCCCACCCAGCTGGATGAAACCTGACCACACAAAGCTGAAAGGGAGGTTCACCATCATCTGGTGGTTTCTCCCCTGGCCTCGTCTGAGCAAGCGCAGGGGTCAGCACAGTGGGCCCAAAAGAGCCGCTCTTATGCTGACAAGATGACAAAATTGTGCCCTCATTCTCATATGGAGCAATGAAAGGAGCAATGAAACTGAGGCCCGTCATCCTCTCCCCTGCCCTAAGGCAGTGTGGCTCCCTCAACTTTTTGGATTAATGGCCCAGCGGCAGCCCCGTCAACTACTGTGAGCCCCCATGAACCTCTCTTGATTTCAGACCCTATAAACACAGCATGGTTCTGAGGACAACTTACTGCGGGCCACCACAGGTACATCAAACGCTTTGCAGAACACTACTAAAACATGTAAGCACGTGTGAAAAGGAGTGCAAGTCCAAAGTTTTCATGCAGAATTTACAACACCAGGCTGGTCATATTCCTAATCTCTGCAAATTCCAACTGGTTACTCTTCTTTCAATGCTAATGAATCTCAGCTTGATGGTAGCTCTTGTGGGACTACAGTTTAAATCTGTAAATACATTAGAAGACCAAATAAGTTTTCTTTTCCAACAATAACCCCCCAAACTAGCACTTAGAGAAAAATAAACTTTTCAGTTTTGTAAGGTCTCCTTACACTTAAGTAGTTACTATTTAAATACTATATATTGCCCCTTGGATGCTAGTGTGAATAAAATTTCCAACATTTTAAGGCATGTACATTTAGAATTTAAGTAAGTTTTAAATATTTAGCATAGAGCAGGAGGAGGAAAGACGCACCTGAGGCACCTACACCGTAACAGAAGGACAAACGACTTGACAACGGCAGGGGGAAGAGAGAGCGTGGGGGCCAGAGGGGGCAAACAGAAAGCGCGGTAGGCAGGAAGAGCTCTGCTATTGGTAAAATTCAGCCTCTAACCGACATTGTCCTCTAACACACATTGTCCTTACGGATCTCTTGTGGCATCAAAAAATCACAAGCTCTGTTTCAGCTCTTATGACACATTTATATAATAAAGCCCTCTCCAAAATATTGGGGGTGTCCTGATATATTGGGGTACGGTTCTGATACCCTGTCCTGATAGCTCCAGTTTTAGTGTAGTTCCACGTCCTCCGAATGAGTGATAGCAGGGTGACTCAGGCTCAGCTATTGTTCTTTTTTTGTCTTTGTCCTCTCTGCGATGCCCATTTCTCGCTGCACCCTCACACTGGAGGGGGCTGAGCAGATACTCCCGGATGTAAAGCTGGCGGCTCTGGAAGTCCTCTGCTGCTGCTGGGACGTCTGTGCCATGCAGCGGGGACAGGTGGAGGAGCCTGCTGGGGAGCCGTGCTAGCTCTGGGGCGGAGGGCAGTGCCCCTGCCAGCGTGGGCTTCACCTGCGCCACGAGCTGTGCCCGGAGAGGGAGCCTGTCAGCTTGTCCTCCCCGTGGCTGTGCTGCTCTCGGACACCAGCTTGTGCCTCTGCAGTGCACCCAACTGCAGAACAGAGACGTGCTCAGAGCAAATCTCCTCTGGGTCCCTCTGGCCCAAGAGAAGGACCCAGCCCTGGTACCAAGGTACCTTCCTGAGGAGGAAGGGTACTTGCTAGGACACTGAGGGACAGAGCAGACTGAGAATAAGGGGCTCCAAATACGTTGCCTCTAATCCTGTTCCCTTCCTCCCCTCCTGCCGTGAGCCGTCCTGTGTCATCCATATTCCAGTCCCTAACACTGCAGCAGGTACTGATCACCGCTTTTGCTGAGTTCTTGGATTCTTGAACCTCTCTTCTCCGTTCTTGATTTCAAGGTTGGTTTAGATTTTTTTCTTATCGTTTCTTTCTCTTATGACTCCTCCCCACTCATACAAGTCCAGGGACATCAGCTGCAGAAGGCTGTCCTCTTCCTCCTCTCTGGGGCAAGAAGATACTTTGTTGCCCTCAAGGGTTATGGGCAGCAGGCAATGCATCTCTCCAGACAGCTAATCACACGTGAAGATGTCAAAATCCACAACTTAGACTACTGTATCCTGCACCTACATCACAGAGCTGGGGAAAGCACCTTCTAAAGAGAAGGGAATAAAGGCAAAAATATAGAAAAAAACCCATGACAGTAAAATGCAAAGAAACCTATTCTATATTTGAAGAATACCTTTTAATCTAACATGAAGTCTTAACATTAATCACAGCAACTGTGATTAAAACACAGAATGGTCTGATATGAGTATGAGATACAGTGTAAGGCCAGAGTTACATTACTCATGAAATTAGTTACCTAAGAGTACATAGTTCTGCATATTAGTAAAATTACAAATGGCTTCTCTGAACGTTAGGGACAATTTCTGAAATTACGTTTTATGTAAAGTTTTGGTAAGCATATCAAAGTTTGGTCGAGAAAAATGTGCAGAGAGACTGAAGAAAACACTTTATAATACTTTGTACTATAAAAGAGACAAATTATATGGTCAGATAAAGAAGATTTATTATCAACATAGGCTTAACATTGTCAAATGCAGTTTGGAAGACTAAGACAGGAGAGGAGTCTCATTCTTATGAAGTGAACATTTCATGAGGAACCGTTTGTTGTTGTTTTTTTAAAGAATTCCAGGCATTCAGCATTTCATATTGGAAAAGGTATTTTGAGTGTGCGTTCTTCCTGAATCACGTGAAAACTCTCCTGTGAAGGCAGTAAACGATACTCCTGTGGATGAAGTCCTTCTTTTAGCTTTGCTAGCTTGGTCTGTAGATTGTCAACCTTGAGTTTAAAATAAAACAAAAAAATAGAGATTGGATATATAATTACATACAATTTTGAGTAGAATGGACTGCTCATGTCTAATGGGCTGCTTTTTCCTGGTCCTTTTGCAGCCTCCATTTGTATGTATACGAAGCTGTACACCTACGACAGCTGCAGCGCACACCTAGGAGGACTGGTGCATCAGTGTTAGTTGTGCAAGCATAAGAATGTGCTGGATTTACATTGCCAGTTCCATGCAAATGATAGCATTTACGTAAGTATGTCTTTTAAAGTAGCTGAAATGGACACAGGTTTTTTTCTCCCGTTAGTGCAAACATATGCATAGGTCATTTTGTAGGAATGCCAGAAGCTATAGATGAAAAAAGGGCTGGTAAGATTAAAGCTCAAGCTCTTAAGTTTGGAAACAGATTTTGAAAGTAGTAAGCATTAAATACTCGTACTGCTACTCTTATTAGTAATAAACATATTTGTAGATATTCTGCACACTGGTACGTAAGTGTACTTTTTTACCAGAAAAGACTCATATTCATCGACTTATTTCAATAAATTGTAATAAATCTTGAAAGTTGATGAAAATTCATTATAGCTTTTACAAGTCTTCATGAAAATAATTTGCTCTTTAGAAATCCAGAGATATCGAAACACTATTTCTTTTGCTATTCAGTATGTTATGAATATTAGAGAGTATAGTTAAATTAAAAGTGTAACAACCATGCAGATTTCAGAAAAGCGTAAGATCATCAATTAAAGCTTATGCATGTATTTAATACATAAGAAGTTCACAGCAAAGTCCATGAGTAGATCTTTGCAGGCTCTGGCTCCTGACAGCCCATTCCATATATCTTTTTTTATAAGAATTAAAAAAGAAAAAGCAAAATATAGGAAAAAAGAAAAAGCAAAATATAGGCTAATACATCTTTCTATGAAGAATGAGGGGTGAGGAAGGATTTAGGAGTGATGGCAGAAAGTGTGCAGTAGCAACATTCAAACGCGGCGGCAAACTTTGACCTCCCTCTGAGCCACTGTTTTCACCCTTTGAAGCATGCACCCTGCAAAACACGCTCCTTCATGCCAGCACCAGGCACCACACATTAATGGCACGCTGTGAAGCCAGAATCCACTCAGATTAGCTGAGTGAACTCAAGCTCCTCAAATCCCACACTTCCTTATTTGCCATCCAATGATGTGTTCCTTTTGGGGTGGTAATTACCACTTTCAAAATACTAGCAAGCCATCATAGGCAGAGCAGTTCCCCTGCTCTGCAAGGCTCTCAACTGTGAGTACACAACAGTTTTTGTAGGCATCTTTGACGTTGCCACTAACCAAGTGACATTTTGCAAGCCAACCACCCTGCTACTGAACACCACCTTCTGTGGTTTTGACAGGAGCAACACCATTATCTATCCTGTTTGCTACCACACCAATGGAAGAATAAGGACAAGAACAAAGACGAGAAAGAAAACAGTAAAACCAATGAGCTACTTCTGCAAGAGCTTCTCCTAGGGCAACTCTGAGCAGTGATCTGGGGGGAGGACTCCAGGGTGGAAGAGGAACAGGCAGCTGTGGCTGCAGAGCTTTAAGATGGAAAGGGGCTTTCCCCTGGAGATCTGTTCAAAGCTTATTCCTGAGCAGTTTTTGAACAAGAAAAAAATCTACCAATTCAGAAAGAGGAGCATATTTCCACATGGAAATTTGCCTGCTCAGATTTTTATTAAAAATAGCGTGGTAAAACAGATTACGGCTGATTTGTAGGGGTGCAACTCATAACACAGCAGTGGGCTCCAAAGCTCACCAGTCTTCAGGAGATAACTGGTAGCACGGCACGTACGAGACTCCTTAATCAGCAAGCCAGTTGATAAAGCTGGCATTTTTACTATTTGCCAGGCAACTCTAAGTAAAAATAGCAATGGAAATTTCTCCAAGACCTCGTTAGCCACTGCGGCAAGTCTACCAAAACTCACTCCTTCTTCTCTGTAATCAAAAAACTAGCTCCCATTGCTACTGCTATGGACAACTGTGATACTTGCTTCTCCATTGACCTGGAAAATCCTGTTTTGCTAACAACTATTGCAGCGGAAGAAACCATTTATTAGGGATACTGATTAAAAGAACAGTATCTCCTAGGGAGCGTCAAGACTCTTGAATGTATATTTGGGAAACTGAAAGGCAGATTGCTAATGAAAACAATAAAGGCAAGCAAGCCCATCTTGAATTGTAACCATGTGCCAGCTCCAAGCTGCCCAAGACCTGGGAGAGCAGAGAGAATGCTCCCAGAGGGCTTGGAGCCCAGTCAGGATATAACCCACCCCTAAGCAGTCCACTCCTAAATACCAGTTTCTGGATATGTTGTCATACATGATTTTTGTACCTACCTGGAGGAACGAACTCAATTTTGGGAGTGTGTAGTTTGCATTTTCCTGTGCGTAACATTGTGGAATGTGAGGGACGCGGGTAATTTTAGAACAGTGTCATGATTTCCTGGCATACAGACAGAGTTTTTGCACTATGTATGACTTGTTTGCCCTGTTATGTGTAGTATGGAGGCTGTGCTTTCAGTGCATTAGATCATTTTGGTTTCGAGGCCACAGACACTTTGAATAAAAACAGGATTTATTTTTACTGAAAGTACAGAGACTGTAAAGTGGTACAAACACTGCAAAAATGAGGCTTTGAAATCCACAGTCTTTATATTATCATTTTACACAGCTTTAGCTTTGTATATTTTTCTAATATTTCTACTGAGCAACTGATGAATTCTCAGGACCTGAATCCCATACTTATGGTGAAAGGCTCAAATGCAGATGACTCCCAGCAGGCACAATTTCATTACCATGTGAGAGGGAGTTGGAATGGGGCTGTCTTTTGATGAACTGCTGCTCCTTTGGAGTACGTAAACTGTTTTGGAGCCTTTCATATTCCCTGTGCATTGTAAAAGGAGTTTATTATTGCCACCATGTAATTCCTTACCGGGAAAAGGCTTTGCCAAATTTAGTACCAGTGATACTACCTCTGCGCATTAACGATTTCTTGCTCAGCTAGAACGCACATAAGTATACAATGCACTACGTCATTTAGAAGAACTATATAGGACATTTGTACTTGCTCTGCCCTCAGTAAACATATTTCTAAAATAAGGTTTGCTTTTTTCAGTCTGACAAAATCATCACTTGGGCACATTACATAAAGAGAATTGAATCACCATTTCAATCTCATGGAAGCTCAGTCAGCATCTAGCCATCTCATACAGACTTGAATCAAAAATCTGTTTAGACTCTTTAGGCAAAACTAACTTTGAGCTGAGTGACTTTATTATCCACAGAGAATTTATAAAAACAAATTAAATGCAAAACAGGGACTCGATTTATTGCAAAATACAGAATTTGTTTTTGGCTTTCTATGCACTTTGGTGGGAAACTGAAGTCAAGACAAGTAATTCCTAATAATGTTGCAATAAGCAAATAAATTTTACAACTATATTAACTTTAATGACATCTCTCTATTTTTTCCCCATCATGATACTTAATTACATCTCAAGGTATAGATTTATGAGTCCTTCTTCCAATAGTAAAAGATAATTTTGAATTTCAACTTTTTGCTGTATTAACCACTTGCACTGAACGGCTTCTACAGCACATGATAAAAATCAACATCCCTGTCTGCTGAGTTTTATGTTAATCTTTGGCAATCTCTTGTGCTTTTCCTGGTTTGTGCCTTCTAATTTGCTCAGAGTTTCAGTTTTCCTTTTGAAAGACTCAAAACACTACAGAAGTTTGTGTGTTTATATATGTGCATGTGTATATATGTACACATACATAAAGACGCACACAATTTTAGCACAAACAAAGACAAAATGTTTTATTTTTAACAGAAATTATTTGCTCCTTGCTATTTTTGTGAAACTAAGGAAGTGTGAAATTAATCGCTGTCAATAAGCACAGACCACTGTGTTTTATTGTATCTCCCAAGAAGACAAGATACTCACTCTGTCAATGTCTTGTTTTGCTTTCTTCATTTCCTCTTGAGGTGCTCCTTTTAATTTTTCTTTTCTTGCTTTCATCATTTGGGTGTGCTGTTTGATAGGTTGTTTCAGTTTCTTTTCTCTGGAGGCTCTAAGCATGACAGAAATAGCGTTTCAGTGCCTTTGTATTCATTGACCCTTCTATTCCAGTTTGAAGTATTCAACACATTTCTGCCGAAACATATAAATACAGACGTGGAGAACAAAAGCAAAAAACTACCTATCCATGTACGTTGCTGCTTTGGCCTTTAATTAATACGCACTTTGTGGTGCATGCACTACATGATGGTCTGCACTATTGGGATCACACAGTGTATTTGTCATCAAACTCTTGCCTCATTCAGTGCATAAACTAGATGGTCTCTGGGGAGAAGTCAGAGTTGTGGTGGAGCAGACTCTTTTGTGCTGGCCCTTTGCATAACTGCTGTGGAAGTTGGAAGGCTTTCAGTGAACAAGGAATGAAAAAGGAAAAAAAAGGAAAAGGCCTATGTTTAAGGAAGCTGAATGAGGTCCTGTAATTCAAAAGACCTAAGAGTAGAGGAAACACTGACAGGGAGTTTAAAGCACCCTGTAAGTAAAACTTACTGAAATGCAGTGGAAGGCAAGCTAACAGAACAAGAATTTGAAAGAGGCAACTGAAGTGTGCCCAATGTGAGTGGCTGAGCAATCCACAGCACACGCAAAGCACGTTTCAAAGGTCCTACCTGCAAATTTAAAACCATGTTGGGACAGCTGGAATGTGAAAAGCGCACTACAGAGCAGTCTTTTTCTAGAGATCCTTACGCAGGTACGAAAGCCAATAGAAGAACAGGACTGAAATATCCCCGACTACTAAATAAATACATCGACTGTACTCTTACTTTTTTTTGCTCATCAGGCCTGACTGAATGAACGCTGTGAAAGGCCATAGCTACGGTATCTGTAACCATTGCTCTTCCACATTACAAGACAGTATAATATAGTGCATTCATACTAAAAGGTGGTTAAAATTTTCCTTGATTTACAGACATCTGCTTAGTAGTTATGCCCTGGAAAATTATCCAGTGGAAGGATGGTGGTATATGCATCAACTGTGATACGCTTGCACCAGTAGTCAAGTTAATCCTCGGATAAAGATATACTCGTTTTTAGAAGTGCAAAATACAGTGCAAAACCAACACATCTTGCAATTAGAAAAACAAACAGAATGTCCCAAACTTCCCCCAAATAAGTTAAAACAAAAACCAACCAAACAAAAAAGAAACCTGACTCCAAAAATAGGGTCATTTAAAAATTGGGACTTGCTCATATTTCTCCGCTCACTTCAGGTCTTTTAAAACTTCATAAAGAAGAATTACGTCAAGTTATTTTCTATCCCAGGTGACAGACTACAGCAATTGAGATAAGTATGTAAATTTTTAATCTAAGATGAGTCTTTTATGGTTAAGTCATCAATCAGCTGAGATCTGTTTAGTTGATTTGGCAAAAAGTAAGGACTAGAGATACTCAAATTCTAGCCAGCTCTCTGGCTCACACTCACTGTATTAAGATGATATAGAGACACTATAAAACAATAATTGTTTTAACTGCATGTTTCCTCTCTTGGTATTGCATTGTAAACGAAGGATCAAATGAATACATTTCAGGTGCAAATCCTGAAATGCCAGTGATTACCTTTAAACAAATACCACTTTTTTTTAGAAGCTCAGAATTAACTTTTTCTCTTTCAGTCACCATGTTTATTTATTAGGATGCAGATTTTTTTACTTTACCGGAGAGCAAAAAAAGAAATGAGCACTTTCATGCTTTCATGATAACAAAAATAAATGGACGCCATCCACAGTGTTATGTAAGAACAGTTTATAGTTTTCTCTACTTGACACTAACCTTGTAGCTTCACTTTTTACATTCAACAATCTTTGTTCACTTTTTTCAGGTATACTGTCCTTCTGTTTCTCAGCTCCATCTTTCATGGCACAGTAACTGATGTTATCCATAGCATATGGTGCATTTTCTGATATCTACAACATAATAAAATATTAACACACAATATGGAAAGGCATCATCAATTAAAAACTGGTCTCATACAGAGATAAAAATAGTCCATGAAAAGCTATTTTTCTTTGAACTCGTGGCTAGTGATCAGTGACTGTTGGGCAAGTGTTCGTTTTTTAAAGGGAGCAAACACTTCCGATTGGTGTTTGGCTGCTAATCATTTCAGACACGGCACAGGCAATGATGTCCTTTGGGTAGTCAGTAGTAACCTACGCTGAACATGACACAGTGCAGAAGAACGCTCTGGGGGCATACTACTATGCGACACTTTCCATATATTTTCCCACTTGTAATGCAGCATGAATATGCTTCAGTTTCTGTAAGGGGGTTTAATACAGTGTTCAGTTATTCAAAAAACAAAGCTGTGAGAAGGCAAGGTTAGTCTGAACACCTTTTTTTGGAGTACTGTCTCTATGGCAAAGAAAATAATTACAGAGTAGTATTCAAATGCACAACGAGCATGTAAGAACGGAGCTCTCATCGACAATGAGCTCTCACTGCCTAACCTCTATATCATTCAAAATAGGATATATAATTTTTCCAGGAAATAAAATACTTTATCTCTCAATGTCTTCCACAGATTTGACCTGTCTATATAGAATGGTTAATTTTAAAGCTAAGCCAGGCTACAGATAAACCTGGTAGAACAATTCAATAACTGACTAATATGATCTATCTTTTAAAAAGTGCATCAAGTAACAAAGGCTGAAATAAGCTTACAGAACAACATTTCAGTTCTAATGCAATTTTGGTAGGACCCCATTCATTCAGGAGGGTTAGCATCCACAGCAGTCTCATTGGGGCTAACGACAGTCTTCACTACCATCTTTGAATACCTATGTGATGCTATGATTTAAAAATAAAAGAACCTTCAGATATGACATTGGTTTTTACTTGTTGTTGTGGTTGTTTTTTTAAAGTCCTTGTCCCCTCCAAACAAAACAGATAGACCAAAATAAATCTCCTCTAACCTGTGAATAATCGCTTTAGGGAAGAAATCACTGACATTCAGTGGGACCGTTTCAGATAAAAGCAGATTTACTGTAAACATATCTTCTAATGAAGGCCTTTTGAATCATCTAGGTCGAGTTTTTTATTTTCATACAGGACGCTCATTGTAACAGATAAAGGAAAACACAACTCCTGCTTTTAAGTTATTTCATGTTTTTCTTGGAAAGTTACTTCTGTTCTTAAAATCGCTGGCATTTTGACAAGGACTAGGTGCTTCACTAACAGAAAGTGAGAAATGTAAGATCACCTTTTTGTTATTAAATGAAAAGGATGATGGCAAACATTTTAAACATTATAAACACATCCATTGGGGTATTGTACACTTACGTTTTGGTTTAGCTAGACTACAAATATAAGATTAGAAAAATAATGATGCTCTGAAGGCCTATTAGAGTTGCACAATGACTGCTATGCTTAAAGTCATAGTCCTGTAACTGAATTCCGCATCGTGTACTCTTATATTTCTATTGCCTTCAATTAAGTTATAACGTTCATACCTGAAATGTGATATTTTGTATTTACTCACAAAAGCCTTATTTCCCCAAGATCTTGAGGAAAAAACAGACACATAATCCAAGCCTGTTTAAATTATTTAAGTTCAGATTATTGCTGAGGCTTTTCAAAAACTCATAAAATGAGAATCTTAAAAATACTAAATTACTTAATAATTTTTAATTTGAAATAATAAATTTTAATTTTGCTTTATTGGTAATATTTTACTTATTTTAATGCTTTAATTTAAAATATTTAAGTATTAAATAACTCTAATGGTATTCTTACCCACATTATATCTGATGGCCAATCAATTTTATTAAGGTCCAGGACTGTCCAAGACCATGTTTCTTCATACACTTCTCTCCCCCTGGCTCACACTTCTTCTTTCTTTGCACTGCTGGAAGTCTCTCTTCTACGTGTCCAGCATCTGTGAGATTCACCTACGGCATCTCTGAGATTCACCGGTGGGGCTAGAAAGGTCCCACGTTTGTCAGGAGAGAGCAGGGAGCTCACTGCCTGCTGCCCACGGCCAGTGCAAAACACACCCGAAGCCGACCAGGCAGAGGAACATGAACAGCATGTGACACTTCCCCCAAATTTTGCTACGTGATCTGGTATTTCTTCGGGAAGAAGGATGGACAGATGGCATAGGATGGCTGTACTGGTTGGGACGTAAACGGCTGCCTTCGCATACCCTCTGCCACGCGCTCTTCCTTCCCGCAGCACAAGGAACTCCCTTTGGATAAACTAATTCTCCCTTCTCTACGCACAGAACTGCTGAAAGTTCAATTCCTGATTAAATTAGGAGCCCAAAGTTTTTTGCAAGATTTTAGTAAGTTTTACAAGTTCCTGAGAGGAAATTGGATGATGTGGACACCTACCAGTCCCTTCCAGAATGGCGGATGCTACGCTGGTCTATACAGTCCATCCCTCTCCAGGACTTTACCACACATTTTAGCTAAATTAAACACATACTTGCGCAGTTCAGGAGTTTGAGAAGAGCTTAGCAAACAGACCTCAGGATGTCAGGACATTGTACACAGCTTGGTTTTGATCACTTCAAAACTGTTCCAGAGAAAACCTATCGCTGTTTTAGAGGAAATGTATAGTGAGGAGAAGACTTAAGTGATAGGCAAGACATGCTATGCAGCAACGTCTGGCCTGCAGATTTGCTGGTGGAGTACCGAGTTTCCTGTATGACAGCATGTTAATTAGATAGGTCAGGAATCAGTAGGAAGAATATGTTGAATTTTACCCCTAGCAGACACACAGAATAGCTACGCAAGTCTATAAAGGTGGGGTAAGCAGGACAGCACAGGGCAGTTTAGCATTAACGTATCTACAAATTTCCCAAAGTTTTAGAACGTATAGTTTCAAATCTAGAATACTGCATGAATAGCAATTGTAATTGGCAACATATTCCATATTTTCAAGTTTTACCCTATCCGAATTTTCCCAGTGTAGAAATTCGTTTACCTTTTCTTAAAGCCAAAGGAAGTATTTGCTTGATCTCTTATTACTACAGAACAGGAAAATGACTTTCACCTGCAACCGCAGTATAACATGTTTAGCAGCCCACAGCAGAGACCTGCGCTAATGACAGATGTAGCTGCAACTCAGCACTGTATCTGAGCTTCGAGAACATGGTTCAGTGGCATGGAATTGTATCTTGAGTTATGGAAGAAGTTATAAACTTGACCACCACAATCTATTCTTTATAAGTGCCATCATCCCACTTCTGGAATTGCCAAAGCAAAAACTTCATCAACATGGCAGCACAGTCCTTGGGAATTATGTGGACTGGTAAGCAGAAATAACTGGAGAGGCTTTGGCAGTATTTCTTCCATTTTACTAAAATATAGATTCAATTTTGTGGAAATGTGTCAGTTACGAAATGTGTTCTTGGGAAGGTGTATTTACTGGTTTTGCTCACTTACTGGCTGTGTGCACATAGTGGCAACACCTGTATCTCCACCCTTTGACTGCAATGAGAGTAACAGATCACCAGAGCCTGAAGAAAGGGAGGCCAAATGTGTTTTTTCTAATTATGTTAGCAAAGTTTTGGAAGGAAAAGTAGGTAGGAAAATAGAGCCAACTGGTAAGAGAATACAGTAATTCTAGGGAAGAGGGATGGCAGAAGCTCAAAATAGCTGAAACTTTGTATTTCAGTTATGCAACAAGGAAGGGCGGCTTCAACTACCTCCTCTGCCTCCATCAAAAAAGTATGCGGAACCTCGGCCTTACATACTTCTGCCAGATGTCCTTACCACGGGGTTGCATAACCTCACTTTCTCTCTCTTTAAATGAGGGGATATTCAATTATTTCTAGAACACAGCTCTAATAAGAAATATTGATAGATACTGACTCAATAACCTTGATGGAATGATTTGGGTGGAAGAGCTAAGTCAAAGCCCCACCTCCAAATTAGATTTCTCACATTCCAAGGAAAAGGTCCCTAACACTTGCTTGTAGACTTAGGCCCTTCCCTCACAATTTTCTTGTAAAACTCAAAAAAAAAATTGGTTTTGTTCTGCAGGGTAGGACACCTTTAAAAACCACAAAAAAACTCAATAAAGCTAAATTATTTCCCAGATCAACCCATCTTACCTGTGCTCCAAATTAATACATTTATAAGGATCTGCACTGGAAAAAAATGAAGTGCTTTAAAAAATGAATGAATGAATAAATGAAGTGCTTATATACCAATACATGCTGCAGTAGATTTGAAGTATTTTATAGGCACTTCATTTTTCTCAGTGGAAAACCTCACCTCCAAACTGACTTGCAACAAAACTGTAGTAATGTACAGGTTTTCCTGTTTCACTGTGCCAATTATTTTTTAAATGGTACTGCTCATGACTAAGCTTCTGTAACTATGATGCTGCTGCAAAGAAAGTCGGTCAACTAATAGAAGGAAAATGCTACAGAACAAACCATCTGCCAGAACTGTGTCACTTGTGACATTATCAAGGTGAAGAGAAAGCAGGAAAAAATGCCATGCTCATATTGATTTGACATACACACACACAATTTACACAAAATTGTTTACATTTGGGAAAATTAAGGTATGCAATGGCAACCGTAAGCAACCATTATTCACCTTTCCATGCATTACCAAAATTACTCAAAACTACTCAAAATTAGGATGATCTTAAATCTAGGACAATCCCATAGTTTTAGGAAAAATATTTAAAAATTTACAGTAAGTGTAGCTGCTTTTGTTTTGTTTTTTTTCCCCTCCATTCTAACACAAATAATTTGAAAACTAAAATAATTTTTTATTTTGTTTAGAATTTCCCCATAAATTCAAAAAAGTCATTTCTTCTGGAAATACAGTAATAAAAGGGAAAAGAAAATACAGAAATAGAATAACCTGGGATTTCTGACTAGACCAAATGAAAAGCTATTGTGAATCAGCTGCTCTTCAGTAACTTGCCATCCCCTTCCCTGCAATAAGTGCAGTATAATTTGAAGTGTAAGAGAAAGGAGGATTAGCTGCTCTGCATTTAGTGTCAAGTAAAAATTCAATTCAGAAGTTACTATCTAGTGGCTCATGACTAGTAATTCATAACTTGATGGTAAAGACGCATTGTTTTACTACATTGCAAACCTAAGACAATTGCTGAATTTTAAATCCCTAAGGAATAAAGTAATCACAAGGCAAGTAGGTCTTAACATGCAAAACAAACAGATTTACGACCAAAATCCATTCCTCTTCTTAATGTGGGTATTCAGTATTAAAACATTCCTTAAGTGTTTAAAGCAGTCCTTCAATAAACAGCCATTTTGAATCTTATTGTAAATAATGTGGGCTGTGATAGGTGTTTCTATTATGTAAAAACTCTGTATGTACAGATTCATCAACGAAAAAATGCTATTTAGTTTGGATTCATATACCAAAAAATGATTGTACGACTTCCTGTGCAGACTTTACAATAAAGTTATTCATAATAAACATTGTTTAATGCCATCTTTTCACTCATAAACGAATATTTTCTGTAACACTCACGAAATATGAAACTGCTTTTTATAAAACGACAAGAGAACAAAGATACATGCTAAACATTGGAGAAAAGATAAAACACTGTCAGTATAAAAATATGAGAATATGTTTCATACATCCGTTATTAGTCTCAAGATTTGTTAGCTATTAATGTAAGCTATATTCACAAAGGAGCTTAATGGGGCCAAAAAAATCGTTTATGGTACTGTAGTGCCCTCTCGTGTTAAATACACGTAACTACATTCAAGAACACAAGCTCACATAGCATTCATATTACTGTGTATCAGTTATATCATTTTAAGTATCTCACATTTTTCAGAAGAAAATTTGAAATTCAAAAATTTTTCTCTGACAGTGAACACATAATATTCTTCCCGTTTATATATGTATGAGAACACAGAAGAGAAAAATGAGGAATATTTAAGTGTATTGCATATCAGTGTACTTACTCCTCGTTATTTAGAATTCACTTCTTCTCTATGCTAATCAAATTTCTATCCTACTGAAGATAATTAGTCAGGTTGGCCAAAATAAGGACCTTCTTACACAGAGACAGCATGCCACATAGCTTCACCAGGATACACAGCAGGGGAAACCCAAGCAACCCGTATCTGTCAGGCTCAGTTTGCAGGAAGAACACTGATGCGCAGAGCTGGCCCCTACTGCTCACACAGCACAAACACACATTTCTTCTCACACAATTTGCTTTGGGTCATGCTGCCTGTTTGAGTATCTTGACATTACACTTGATGTTGAATATTGCTATACAACAAACCAGTTTCCAGAACTGTGTTACTTATATCATCAGCTACAGTGAAGAGAAAGCAGGAAATAAGTGACACATGCTGGTTTGGTCCGTATACACAAGAAGGATATTTTTACATGGGAAAGTCAGTGCATACAATGGTAAACATAGGTAACTATTACTAATCCTATGTAATAATCAGTAAAATGAACTACTAGTGCCAGTAATGTCACTATGGTTTATTCCGTGATTTAACGATGTCAGGATTTCACCAGCGACCAGCTTTCAAGTTTGATCTTTTAAAACATACAGCTGTACTTAGTTTGCAGTCAGCTCTACTTGTGCAAATAAAAACAGTACTGCAAACCTGTTCTGGCACCAGAGCAGTTCTGTTTCGCTTTTGCTTTATTTCTGTGGTAAAACTGGACAAAGACATTATCATAGACGGAAGCATTATATTTATGTTTCTATTTAACTTCTAGGACAATGAAAAACAGTAATGAATACCCACTGTCTCAGAAAATCAGGTTAAAATGTTTGGTAATTGAAACTTAAGTAACAAATCTCTAACAGATGCATGAAGTGGAATAAAATCCTGCTCTTCCTAGCCATATTAGTTCCCAAACAAATTAGTTCTGTACAGAAAAAAAGAAAGTCTGTTTAAATCAAAATTTCTATTGTACTAAAATGACCAAGTACAAACTTAGCACTGCTGTTTGGTGAGGGAAAAAAGGTGAGACTATAAATATACTGCTGCTTTGCCAGTAGGTTGCCTCTGACACATTCCTGAGGTTCAGCGGGTTAAGCAAAGTTCTCCTGCCAGAATTAAGGAAATTAACTGGTGAAAAATACCACAATATGGGTGAATAGCGAGGAGAAAAAGGGTTGTATTCACATAAATAAACTGCCTGAGCCAGAAGCCTGGGTTCCTGTATAGTCAATGAAAATGAAAAAGGATGACTCGGATCACTAATATTAGGTGCTTGCCTTCCTCTATTCACTAGGAGCCCAGGCTCCTAACTCGGGCACCTAAGTTAGATGTCTAGAATTACATGGTGTGAACCCATAGGATCTCCTATTTGATCAACTTCAGTTCAAAAAAACATTTCTCCAAGTACTGTTGCGTTTAGTAACATAATTTGGCTTAGTTTCAGAAATATGAGCGAAAATGAGAGTAAAAATATTAGTAAGCCTAAAGTGTGGTTGCTTTGTTTTTTACATTTTAAATATACATTACAATTTTTTCTTGTTTGGTTGCATCAGAGATTTTGAATTGCAAGTTTTTCTATATTACTAGAAGAGTAAAGTTGCAACCTGTAATATAGGGTCTGTTTTTATTGGTTGAGCACCAGGCATTCCTAAGTAGATATTAATAAAATATAACGCACTAAACCACTGGAGTAAATTCCCTTATTAGTGCTGAGGGATATAAGTCATTTTAATCAAAAAACCTGCTGACATTTCAGACAAATTTGGGTACGTCCACACTTCAAAGGTCAGAAGTAGTATGCCCAGCAATCATGAAACTGAGATTAAAGAATTCTTCACAGTAAGACAAAAACTCACAGCATTTTAAGTTCCTTAAATGATCACTTCTAAACGCCCTACTCAGTGCCTATGCCACACTATTTTCACATCACAGCACTGAAAAATTCACGTGCACTTATTTTCAGCATCTCGTCTTTTGCAATATTATGTATAAGAAATGACCTTCTAATGGCAAAACTAATGGCATAGCCTGAGATTTTGTTTTAACCGTTTGTTACTTGAAAAAGACTTCTCAGAGCTTTTATATACTTTAGACAGCACCAAAAGTGAGGTCCTCTCCTTTAGTATGCCAGCATTTACAAATTCCTGGAGGAACCAGAAAATCCAGCCCACTTCAACTTCAGTTTGGCAGAGGCAACATCTCATGTTGGAGGCGTTCAGTAATTAAAAAGTCGTATTTAAACATAAGCACTTCTGTTTTAACGCCTCCAAACAGCCTGATGATTGGAGCCACTACAGATTTTGAATAGCAGTTTGAAGGATCTAGCAACTCCTACACTGCACATGGGGCTGCAGCACTTCATGCAGGAGCTCTAGTCCAACATAGATACTGGAAGAAGGGTCTGCAAAGCCACAGACTTTTAAAGGGCTGGCATTTGAAATGGCGCTCTTCTCTTTGTCACACTAGAATCATTAGAAATTTTAAGCTTAAGTATACGGTCTGTAAAAAAAAGTAAATCAAAGGGTCTCATTAATGGATTTTTTTCAGTGTGCTACCTTGCTATTTTCTGTTACATACCATATCTGCATTTGAAGGTGAAAATCTAAGCAATGTGTCTTTCTTTTCTTTCATCAACTTTGCATGGCTTCGCCACTCTTGAAACATTTCTTCATCTCTGAAAAAGTTAATTTATACCAAACTTTTAAAGTTGTATTTTAAGGGGTGAATATTAGTATGCTTGTTTGCTTTGTTTCTGTCCTAAGTTTCAGGCTACTTCTCGTGACTTACTGTTGTCTGATACAGAAATGGAATAATTCTGTTCCTTCAATTTTGCTGTCTTTTTGAAAAGCATTTGTCAACTATAATAACACCAAATAAATGACTACTTCAATAAATGATACACATTGCCCTCAGTCTCGTTTTGTATTCTTTCCTCAAAGCCTCTCTATTCCTGAAGTCCTCCCAATATTTTCCTCAAGGCTTCTGTATCCTGTCTATAATCTTGCATAAAATTAAGGAATAGTCACACCGAAGTCCGATGAGAAGCTAAATGAACACTTCCCTTGCGTGAGCATTTCACCTGGGAGTGAACAAAGATAACTGGTCAGCCAGATTTCTTTCTGAAAAAAATACAGCCAAGATTAAAAGGCAGCACAGCTCACAGCACGTAGAAGCTCAACTTTGTTCCCACTGGTCACCCCATCACTGTGCACAAAATAGGTTAAATGAGGCACAATAGAAACAAAGACTCATTTTTACTAGCACTGGCCCAAACACCTATTGCCAATCACAATCATATAGATATCAGGTTTCTCAGGCACAGAGAATCTTCCACAATTAAAGCACTCCCTTACTGATGGAAAGGAAATGGGAAACAAGAACGCTCGGTTTCTACTCCACTCTTGCCATTTTTCCCCTTTCTTCCAGTGCACTGCTAGCCACGGAACACCACCAAAGCACACCAGCCAATGTGAAACACTGAAATACACAGCTACACTTTGCGTACTCTCTCAAATCCAGAGCACTGCCTTTCATAACCAAATTGTCTTGTGCTTCCAGGAGCTCCACTGAGATGCATTGGTTTCATTTGAAGAAAGTGTAAAATCCATATATAACAGAAAAAACATGTATGAAGATGATGCAAACTAGGACTAACATTCAGTCTTGTTTCTTGGGTGTAGTTTGTAATAGGTGTACCGATTCCTGAAACAGCAGTCCAAATGTATGCGCGTGGTGGGAAAACATGCAGAAATACAAAGAAGGTGTAGTTCTTTTAGCAATATTTTTTCAACATATGCACTTTTTTACTGTAAGCACATCACATTTTGTGTGTCATATACAGTTATTTGCTCTCTAGTTGTAGACTGCTGTCAACAAAGACAAAGAAGTAACATTTAAGCTTGTATGAAATGTAACATATGAAGTATGAATTAACTGAAAGGGATTTCTTCTCTATTCAGTTAGAATGGGAACAGAGTCAAGTCAATGAGAAATCTGATATCTCACCTTCTTGTTGCCTTGGAGCACCACATATTGTGAAGAAAAGCACTCTTATTATTTCCACTTGTAGTGCAACCTTTTTAAAATGACTTCTTTCCTTATAAATAGTAAACTGGACAATGTATTAGGAAGCTAAGTAACAACTTTTAAAAACATTGCCATTATAATACTTGCTTTTTCCTTTGTTCAATTAAAGCTTTTTCCTCTGTCAGCTCCTTTGCTGCTGCCAATTTGTACGCTTCAGCTAGCTTTGTCTGAATCATCCAACCATAGGATAGAAACTCAGGAAATTTATCTCTCTGTGTGGACATGCTCCTTTTAAAATGAACAGTTTGACAATGTTATCTAGGTAATGCATATAAAACTGAGCACATTTAAGTATGATGATAAACACATTCAAAATGCAAATTTATAGCTACTACTAATTTTTTGCCAAACAATAAGAAAATACAAGAATCAAAACTAGTTGCCTTTCTTTGTAATTTTTGTTTAAATAAGTACAGCAAACCCTCAAAACATAGGCTCTTAACTCAACGGCCTGCCTAACTAAGCATGAGTAGTCTATTTCATTTCAGTAAAGCCATTACAATATTTAAGGCCAAAAACATGTTTAAGTAATTTGTCAAATCAGGTACCCCATAAAAAACACTGCTGAGCGCAAGAATGTATTCACTGCTGAGCTCAAGGATGTATTACGGGGGAAAAAAGTAAGCACAAACCATGAATTCTGAAAGTTTTTTCTATTCTGTTCATACTCTGCTTTCAAAAAAAGGAAAAATTTAACCTGAGAGCTATCGATATCAAAGACGGTGTAATATATACTGCATTATGTAGATAACAATGAAAAGTAGGG